CATCTCAAAATCGGTGGATCGGTAGTTTGACCCAAAAGTCGGTGATCTACCGATTTTTCTGTAGGGTTGGCAGGTATGCTATATATTATATTTGTGAAAGTTCGTCATTTAGCAGCCTAAAACTTCCGAATTTGAAAAAAAAAAAACTGTATAATCACTTGTACAAACACCCACTCGCCATTTGCCTCCTTGCATATCGTCGGCCTTGTGATAAAACCGGCTAACCCCAGCGAGGTAAATTTTACAGGAGAAGGAAAAAACTGTTTTATTTCAAAACAAAGGCGTCTAACGATAAATCAATGCTTTAAACACCTATAAAAACACTTTACTGAAAATCTGTAGAACTTTTTTCCTTTAAAAATTGCTTTTAATGAAACTGTGTGGGTTAGACGGTTATGTCGCTCAAATTTTCCTGGATAAAACCGACCAACCCTCAATTTTGTGGGTTGACCGGTTTTATCAGGAAGCCACTGCTGGCCTTGAGTTTGGTTGAGTGCAGCCAAGCCACACTTGACGGTAACGTATTTGATCACTTGCTTCAATCGTCAAGATCTTTTGTAGAAGAAGAAGGAGGAGGAGGAGGAGGAGGAGGATGAGGAGGAGGAGGAGGAGGAGGAGAAAAAAGAAGGAGGAGGAGGAGGAGGAGGAGAAAAAAGAAGGAGGAGGAGGAGGAGGAGGAGAAAAAAGAAGGAGGAGGAGAAGTAAGAAGAAGGAAGAGGAGGAGGACTATATTATTGCTACCAACATACTATCAGCTGCTGCCATTTCAGTGCTACGGAGTCAATTCTGGCAAAAACAGCAGTCACAAAGTTTAACCTTTAATAGAAGTAGAAGAAGCAGAACACAGCAAAGGGTATATTAATTACATTCAAAGTAGAAGAACAGGAGGTTGGAAGGGTAAGGGAGAGCAGCTACAGCAACAACTACAAAAAACAACAACTATAACAACAACGAAAACAACAGTAGTAGCAGCAGCAGCAGTAGGCCTTTAGAATTTATGACCGTGTCTGACACGGTACTATTGGCACTGGGTGGTCACTCAAAGGCCTGGAAAAAAGTAATACTAAGAAAGAAATGAAAGCAGACAGCCACACAAAAGCTCTGCTCCCTCAGCAATGGTTTGGGTGAAGTTGGTTACATAATAATATATTATTATTATACAAAAGGACTTTGTGAGTACCAAAGAATGCGCCAACTTTCTTCAAGGTGCGTGGCTTGACAACTACTACTTTATTGAGTTTTCTCGACGATAGAAGAGCATGTTTGTCTCACTCTGTGTCCTATGGCTACAACAAGGCAATACGACAAAAGTTACCATTGTTTTGAAAGACTCTACAATAATCGAATTTGGCTTGATCGCTTTCAAAACTTCTTACTGAGGCAAAGTTTCATGATAATTGTGGTAGCATCGTGGTACGACGGCCTTCAACTCCAGTAGATGTTTATACTGGTTGGCAGTTATCTTCAATCTGTCTTTGCAGAAAGGTCCAGCAGTAACCGTCGTACACATGGTGTTCAGCTTTCTTGGTCCTTGCAGCGCCTTCCATCCATCATCAAAGTTCAGCTTATACTGAATTTTAAAGACTGGAGTGTACTTTGATGCCTGCAAGTCAGTGATAGAAGGATCGCCTGCTTTTCTCCCTGGACGGATTGTTTAGTGCTCTCCGACCTTTGCAAAATCTTTGAAAAAGCTGTGGTCCAGGTACATAACTTCATAGGGCCTGGGGATGCGTCTGGCTTTGAGCATGATGTTCACGTAGTCCGCTGGGATGTACATCAGGCCGTTTTTTAGCGATCACTCAATAGTGCCATTGACTGAATCCACTTCCATTTGGGTATGGCCCTTGGGGAGAATTTCTGCTTAACTGTGATGTCAAGCTCTTTGGCCAGCGAGGCCATTGCACTCAACAGGGTGGCTTTCTGTTTTAGTAGTTGCACCAATCACTGCAGATGATGAGGTGGTTGAAGTCAGTCACTTGCAATATCAGTTAGTGAGTCAGACATGATGAAAACTGTTGAAGCCAAGACCAACTTCACTTTCATACCAGACATATCATCTGGCGTCTCTGGTGGCAAGATCCTAAGTCGTAACATTGTGTACAGCCAGTTTTGTTTTATATAAAGTGGAAGTCTTTAGGGATGGGGCCAGAAGGACGCACTGGATCTCCATACAAAGGACACACACAGCCTCCCTGTCCGTCTCCTTCTCTGGTCTAGCTGCAGCTTTCCTCATATTCATATTTGAGCTGTGTGTTCTGTTTCTGTGAGGTTTCCAGATTTGAACTTTGTACAAATGTCGCACTGGTCTTTCTTGGTTGAAAGTAAACCCACATTGTTTTTCTTGAACTTTTGGTAGAACACTTGATAGATCAATGTGGCTTTCACCCTCTCTGCAAAATTCTCCATGTATACTTGATGCAGATCTGACGTTTTCTGGATTGTCATCTGTAGACAGCAGGATATCTTCGAAAGTTTGTCAAAAAATTCCTCTTTATGGAACAACTTGTCATCCTTGGCTCTCTCATGGTGGGCGTGATGTCTTCTAGGGGCTCTTGTTTGTTTGTTTTTTCGGAGAAGACACTTTAGATAAACCAGTGGGTCAGGCCTGTGGTGTTCTTGAAGATTGTTTTACAAACAGGTATTCTTTGGTGGTATTGAAGGCTGTAATTTCTTCTTGGGTTTTCCCTTGCTGTGTAAGATCTCTTTTTGTCTATCCTGTTTATCGTGGCATATACATAGGCTCTCTTTTCTTTCCAAGAGAGTGACCAGTGATGTCATTGCATTTTGTA